ATATTTTGATTCATTTAATTGGAGCATGAAAATAAAATGCTTGACGGACGATAATTTCTCCTGTTCTTCCAATTGTCGTTTGCGTATTTTAAGAAGAGATAGATTTATCTTGTTCTCAGTTTGACAAATACTTAAATCTTATATTTTGTTTCGCTACTGTTATGGTTTTTTTATTTAAAAATTCTTCACTTATGACTTCCTTTTAAGTGTGCATGCAAAAATAAAATAAAAATCTATAAAGTTATTTTTGGTTGATTTTCAGTCACTGGTCTCCGTGGTCGAGGGTTTAGAGTCGATGACTTCTAATCCAGTTACGTCTCTGGCGTGGGTTCGATCCCCGGGAGATACTTTGGTAGTTTAGCGCGGAGGAAGGTACTGGTGTAACTCTCAAGGAACGATGATTAGGAAACTACCTGCCTATATGACTGAAATACTGTTAGGAAAAGGCGTAAATGAAACAAACAAACAAACAAACCTAGATGTTAAAAGATAGAAGCCGCTTGAGACTGATTAGGAGATTTTCAAAGCTTTATTTCCCTTAATTAGGTTCAATCGAATTAAGAGACTATATACACGAAAAATAGGTGTGATATCTATCATTGTTTATCTACAGGAGCTCAAAGAAAAAGTACAATAATTACAATTACAATAAACAATAAATTGATACTATTGTCAAAACAGGGAATAAAATTACATGCCATAATTTTTAAAATAACAAGAATAAAGATAAAAAAATCCCGTATCTTTTTTGCTTTAGGGTATTGTCTGTAAAGAAAAATTATTTCGTTCACTTACAATCCTATATAGATACACATTCGAACTTGATAACATTTGGATATCTAGGTAACTACCCTATTGTTCTGCCTTAGCATATTAGAGAACACATTTTATTAAGTTCTTCTTACTGTTGGAAAATGGGTAAAATGAAACAAACAAACAAACAAACAGTCATGGGTCAATATTGAGAACATGTATTTTCGTGCCCCAGTGTATATAGTAATTGAACCGTTTATCCGCCTGTCAGTACGAGGTTTTAAATTTATCTAAAACGGCAAGTTGGATTTTTCTTATGTTCTACCTGTATCAATGGCTTCATTATTCACTTACTAAACAAAGAAAATTCATAATAAGGTGGTAAGTTACATAATTATGACTTCCATTTTTCCGCAATTTTAAAATAAATGTGGTTAACCTAAACAAGCAAGTAAGATATATTTTAAGTTGTTTCTATTCTTATGGCTTTCTATTTTCTACACATACTTATCAATACAAAGTACATGATATTGCCAAGTTATATTACAGTGCCATCCATTTTTCCAAGTTATATATCTTTATCACTATAAATATAGGCCTTGTATGATTAACCTATTCATGCAAGTTGGATTTATCTTAAATTTCTCCAAATAGCTTCATTTATTTAATGATTTCTTTCACATTTGGTAGGTGGATACTTTTAATGATCCTTTAACTTTTTAAGAGTTAGCAAACACTGGTGGTCGAGGTCACTTGCGGAAAAAAAATCAAATAATTGTGCTCATACAGTTTTTTTTTTAGTGTTTAGCTTAATGTGCTTCTTGTTGAAAATTGACATGTCTATGGAGGTCTTCTTTAGTTAGGGGTCATTTGGGTCTAAGTCAAGGTCATTTCATAGACAGATATCTTTATATATTTGGTAGGACCGTACAATTGAGAGGCTTTCTTCTTCTTTTAGAAAGAATAAATGGTTACGTTAAGTCAAGGTCACTAAAGTTAAAATATATTTTTGTATTTTTGCCCGAGAAGCCTTCATTGATTGACAGGTGCCTTTCATATTTTGATGGAAGATTACTTGCATTGTATTCTTAATTTGGAATGAGTAAGGGTCAGTGGTTCAAGAGTGCCTATAATAAATATTTGCTCATCTTTTGTATTGGACTAATCCTTTTCTTATTTGGTAGAATGATAACTTGTGTGGTCTTCTTTCTTTAGATTGAATTAGGGGCCAGTCAGGTCTAGACCATCAGTGCTAAAATAGTCTATTGTATGACTCAAAAAGCAGAGGGGGGGGGGGGGGATATTTATATCAAAAAGTATTTATTACGTTTATTGATCTTATGTAAAATTTCCCCCTGCCTCTGACAAAATAGGGGGAGATTCTCAAAAATATGAGTGAATCCCCCTAGATATCTTGTATGTTCTTCTTCCTGTGCATTGAGTTAGGGGTTAGCGGGTTTAAGGTCAACAGTGCAAACATATTATGCAGCATATACATATACTTAAAGGTGCTGGGAGCAACATGTCAAGGTCACTTTTGCTTACAAAAGATTTTTTATACTTTTTCTTATACAGCCTTTGTATTATTTTCCGGATGTCTCATAATTAGAAGGAACAAACCTCAGGTCCTTTAAATTTAAGTGAAGTGTTTGGGGTCACTGGGTTCAAGGTCAGGGTATTGTTTTTATATACATTTGATCATTTTGTATTGGTAAATTGAAGATTTGTTTAAACTTCATCAAATAGCAGTGACATGCCAACTTTTATTATTCTCACTAACAAAATGTCATAATACCGTCAAGTTATATAACTTTGTTTCACATGTTTTGACAAGTTTTCATTCCATCATCGTGTGAATGGTTAAACCGTTTTTGAAATACTATTTCTGACAAATATCTGGGCCGGGGGATTTTGTGTTCCACAAACACGTCCTTCTCCTATTTTGAAATTAGTAGAAATGGTTTAAAAAAACACAAATGTTGCTGTCGAGGATTGGATTATATTGGATCTGAAATAAGCTCACAACGTTCATGGTGAGCTATATAGACCGGCCTGTGTCTGTCGTGCGACGTAAACTTTTGTTTAAGACATCATTTCCCAAACCATTTGGTCAGTGGTTCAAAAGCTAAACGGGCTTCCAAGGGAACACTTTGTTTCCAGATTTTTATACTTCACACCAGCAGGTGTCAAGTGCCGTGTGGCAGCTGTAAAATGTTGTCCCGTACTTCACTTTAGTGTTGTTATATTTTTCTGGTCCTTCGGGGCACTTATTCATTATCCCTAAATCAATCCGAGTCTGCTATTTTTATGTAATTTTATTGTAATTTATGCGTCCGAGGGATCACTTTGTTTCCAGATTTGGATTTTGCTACTTTTAAAACATATTTCCATCTTACGAAGTATGTCTGTATGTTTTAACGTATTATAATAAAATTATTAAAAATACACGTACTCATTATTTTCTGCTTCTTAAATTGACATTTTCCATAAAAGATAAAAAATTCATACAAAAGTAATATTTATTTTCAACAAGTTATTAAGACAAATTATTGTCGTGCGCGCAAAACACACCTCTCTTTATTGCTACCATTTGTGCCAAAATGTTTAATAATTTCTTGATGCATGACAAGAGTTAATGGCCGGACAAGGTTTTCTATCATTTGCACCCACGCATAACAGTGGTAACACTTTATGCTCCCCTGCCATTATCATATGGGGAGGGGGATAAAAAATACATAATTATGTACAAATAACTTGACACATCATTACAAAATACATATATATATTTTAATAAGATAATATTTACAAAACTCGACTATGATATTAGATTATGCGAGCAAAATAATAAGTCTTTTGCATATTTCACTGAATGTCTGTTTAAAAACACCAAAAGAAAAAAATCTAGATTGTTCGTTTTATGTTATACACATGCTTTAATATCTATTTAAAAAAGCAATGCAGATCTCCAACCATCAAAGTCTATAACGTTTTTAGGTATTAATTAAATTTGTATCTGAGGTACGATTTTAGTGACTATTGCTTCTGAGGGATCACTTATTTCAGATTTTTATTATAAACAAGAACATTTTTTTGAGTCATAGATAAAACATAAGTAATCAAAATATGTTATGCATGTATACAAAAGTCGAAAATAAAGGTTTTCTGGTCCTTCGGGATCATTGATGCCAACATTATACAGTGTTGAGAATTGAGTACCGCTCAAGCCGGTGCTAGGGGGCGTGAGGGATGTTGCACTTATTCATTATTCCTCATGTACAGACTCAATCAAACCGAGTCTGCAATTCTTATGTTATTTTGTTGTGATTAATGCTTCCGAGGGATCACTTTGTTTCCAGAATTTTATCTTAGGTATGAGATTTATGAATACAATTTTTGTTATTCGAATTACTTATCATTTAATGATTAACCTGTCCATGCTCTGTCTTTGCCCTGTCCTGTTTTTGTTTGGGGTCCGCCCGGGCTCCTTGCCGTTGGTTCTTGTTGCTGGGTCGTGTAGGGGTTGCGTTCGTTGAGCGCCGCCTTTCTTTGTTGACCTTGTTTATCATATTTTGAGAGAGAATACAATATGTTATATGGGGAAAAGGAATGGTTGCATTCAATGTAGGAATCCCAAAACACAGGTGCACCAGCCAGACGTCAAATAGGACAGTGCACACAGGCGAAGGGTTTAAAATAGATAAATACGGAATCGACTTTCTTAAATATTCTGACTTTCTTAAATATTCTGCGATTTGTGTAGAAAATTTTCCTATGTCACATTTCATTTATCAGTTCACTCCTTAACTATTCAATAGCAAATCGATGAGTTTTATCACTCATACAAATAAATATTCAACAAAAACAGTGTACAAGACTCTAAATTAGACAACACCCAAAACGTCAAAATTGAAAATGTTTCACTTATTGTTTTAATACGCCTGTTCATGAATGGAACTGAAAAATGTAAGTTACCGTCCACACCCTCTAGCATCGGCTTAAGCAAATTTCAACATTTAAACATTTTAGAAATGGTGTATTGGGTATTCTTTACAAACAAGGAACTATCATATTGATTGAATGTTAAAGGATGTTTTATTGGATGGTGCAGTGGTCATTTGAACAAGCAGCAAATCTGTTTCGCCTCATTTTCTGTTATTTTCCATCTATTGTTTTCCAGTTTAATTCTTTCCTTAAAATTGTTTTTTGTTAATGACAAGTATCTTGTCTCTTTCCTTGATGATTTTTTTTTGTTGTTGAAAAGTTATATCTTCATGTGAGCCCTTACTGTAATATAGGAACTGACGAGCATTGCGTTCATCAATGGATTAAGTTCCTTGCCTGCATTTCAACAGCGTTCCTAAATGATTACGGAAATTTTGATTAAGGAATGCATAAATGATTGGATTAGCAACATTGTATGTGAAGTACATATAGAACACTATGACATTCATTGAAATGACTTTCAGAGCCATCAGCCATGCTGGCAGAAATGCAATCACATATGTGAGAGCTACAATTGACAACATCAGAGCAGTTTTGATATTAGCAACTCTCAGCTTCTCCATTTTGGCTTTTGAGACGCCGCATCGACTTAAAGATTCTTTGCTGGAATCTAGCTTTTCAGCTGAGCATGTATGATTGTCGTCTTGATTTTGCTCACTTCTAAATGAATCACCTTGCGTTGTTTTGTTTGATATATGTGACGGTGACTCATCTATATTGCTCATAATGAACTTTGTTGTTGGCTTTGGTTTCGTAGTCTCTTCATTGTGCCTCGGTGAAAGGAATAGACAGCATGTTGTTGTCAGATGAAATCGTCTGCGGCGTCGTGTGAGCACTGATTTGTAGGTAATGACATACAAGATGATCACTATAACAGCACAAACAGCAAAATACGACGAGTAAAGTTTCTGATATATACTAAAAAATGACATGTCAACAATAATTTCGTTTTTATGGCATTGACCTGTGTTGACGACGACGGTAAGAATCGTATTATCTGCTGTATTTTGACTTAAATTGTTCTGCTCTGGAATGCTCTTGTTTAAGAAGGGATACTCTGCTAAACTGTCATAAAACATCGACTGTGAAATGGCAGTTAAGTTGCTTTTATAAATTTTATTTACGCCATACATAACGGAACTCGGAAACCCTATACTCATAGAGAATATGGCAAGAAGAACAACGGTGATCTTTGCTCTTTTGATCGTCATCATTTGCTTGTATGGATGAACAATGCACATGTATCGATCAACAGCTATCGCAACCATCACGGAAGCTGAAAAAGGAATTGACGTTGTTGCTAACCCGTGATACAGCTTGCATAAGGCATCAATATCTATTCGGAAGTGACGTAGTTCCATAAAAATGGTGAAAGGCATTGTAACAAGAGCCGATATCAAATCGGTCCCTGCTAGCGTGAGGATAAATATAGTGGAACTCAATTTGATTTTCTGCTTTGTGAAGACGTAAAGCACTAGGGTGTTGCCAAAAATGCCAGACATAGATAGAAACCCAAGCATTCCAATTGTGACCAGCATAATACTGTTTGGCTCAACTGTTTCGTCGGGATCATCAATGTCGTAGTAAACGTCGCTAAAATTGTCTGGGAGAGGCATCTTTGACAACCTGAAAAATAAAAACATTTAAATATTTATGTATACTTATAAACTGTGAGATCATATTCCTGACATCATATACGCGGGTTTTATTCATTGCGTCGATTATATTATATTTTTTATTAAACTGGAAGAAGAAGCCAACATTGTCACCACTTGCTACAGTTCAATTTGAACGGTTTCAGTTATTTATACGTTAATTGTATTAAAGTAACTATATGGTTCACGTATTCAGTTGATCAAGTATACATGTACCTGTAAGTGATCAATATTGGAAGTCAGAATGTGTTCTCATAATTGTCTAAAATGTTGTCTAAAATATGTAATTTTCAATAATCAAGGAGTTTTTTATTTCATGATCTTAACAATAAATAAAAACAATTAAAAACAAATACAACACTGAAGTTCAGTTTTCGGTATTCACTATGATGATCTATTGGGTTCATTAAGTTAACATCTTCCATTGTAATTTTTTTTTGCAATGTTTGAAATAAAATCCTTGCTACAAAAATGTTTCATCATTTTATGCAGGAGTACTCATCATTGTACCAAAACAGTTTCTTTAATCTTTGAGAAAATATTCGTCTACTTGTTTAGTTAATCTTTACTGATTTGAATAAGATTCATTTTGTATTAAGATATAGTTATTATGGTTTAGTTTACGATTGTTTTGTAGCCACAATAGGTAATTCAAAGATAAATTGATTGGACCGTTTATTATATATAAGGATATTGTTGTCTCCTAAATCTTTAATGATAGATAGTAAAATTAATTAATTAATTTAAGTCTTGAATGTAATTGTTTTATGTTTCCGTTGAACAGATATAATTTATTATTGAAATGTTTCCTGTCTTGATTGATTTAATCACGTGGCTTAGGTATCAAAATTCGTTTAAATTGCATTTAATTATGTTTTAACTGAATTGATGATCACTATTAAATGAAACAAAATATAAAAATGTAAATTTGCCTAAGGTTCTAATATCAAATATCTCGCCGAATGTCTGAACACGACAATGAATGGTTCATTTTACAACCCCTCTCGATGAACACATAGTTTGTGCTTGTTTCGATTTATAAGTAGAGGGGGAAAAGGATTAGACCCTAACACGGCAAAATTAAAAACATTGCGGGCTTTCTTTTTTTTATTGATCCAGTTCGTTGCCGAAGGTAGTGATGTGTGCTAACTTGTTAACAGCTCAACAAGTATGCAACATTTTTTTTTTGAAATTAAGAGAATATTAGCTTAAAAAATGTAACAGTTTCACAGTTAATACGCATCAAACTATTTTAATCAAAGAAATGATTCGTATCAAAATAAGCATTATCACTTAATCCGGTTTATTCAGGAAAACAGGTATGTATTATTATAATGATAATAACAAAATGTTAATGATTTCTACATAAACTTTAAACTTAGAATACTGATAATCATGATGGAATATTTAAACTGACAAATTCTTAGATATGGACCTTTTTGGTAATTTTGTGAAGGTGAGATGTACTTGTTAACATATTGAATCTTACTAAATTTATAAATGAAAGAATGTTTTGTTCCTTTTTGTATAGAAAGGCTTTCAGTAAGAATGAATTTGTTTGTTTGTTTCATTTTACGTCTTTTCCCAACAGTATTTCAGTTATATAGGCGGGTAGTTTCCTAACCATCGTTCCTGGAGAGTTACACCAGTACTAGACTACCTTCCTCCGTGCTAAACTACCAAAGCATCTCCCGGGGGATCGAACCCACGCCAGAGAGGTAACTGGATTATAAGTCATCGACTCTAACCCCTCGACGCAGTAGGAACGATGTTTTGTGATAAACAACTCATGCAAAACGATTTTCTCGAAATTCTTGGCACATACCATATCATAACTACACATACATAAAAAAGAATAACTATTTCAATTTAATTAACAGCCCCATGAAAAAAGGACTGGTAAAGAATTAACGTCATGAAAATGTGTATCTATAGAATTACAATCCCTCCATTTACAAAAAAAGTCAAATGGAATCAGTCATAAAAAACGAAAAAAACCTTTCGCGTTAATTTGTTGGTCACTGTTTTAATTTACCACGTTTCAAACAATGCGAATGACTCGTTTCATTGGTTGATAGTATGTAAAATTTCGTGTCATCAAGTCGAACCGGCCGCTGAACTTACTCAGTCTTGCATATAAGACTGGCGTTTCAGTAAGTTTAACACATCCTGACATGGGGGTGGGGATGCCAGATGAGTCGGTGCAGAACAATGGCACGCTTATGATGACGTAATTATACCGTTTTGAATTAAGTTGTAATTCAATACGCTGTTAAAAGAAAATAGTTACGGGTAAAATAACATAAATTTCCATGGAAAATTGCTTAAAGATATACTATGCTCAAATTTGATATCTGAAAATATTGACAATTTCTACACAGTCTTTTTGTAAATATTTAATAAACATGTTTTGACTACACAAAGTAGATATGTTATCATGTTTAAAATCCTCCACACTATAGGTGGTCACAATATGAATATATAGTGTCATTAAAAAAAAAAACTGGCAGTTTTTTATAAGATAATACCAACTTTACTTGGCATGTAATAGGGAACGCAGCTTCCCATACATAGTTTATTCATTCTTTTATTCAAATTAGACATGTTCATATTCATATTTTATTCAGTTAGAATTTCATGAATTTCAATAAATTTCTGTGATTAAAATATTTATTGTATATCTTTTATTAAATTAATATTATAAAAGTAAAGAGATTAAACTATAATGGAATATGGTACACTATACAAGAAAAAATATCTGACACATATTTGCAGGCCGCGTTTTATCTCTACAAACAGAACACTTGTTATAGTAACATGATCCGGCGTCATTAAACACTGGAGTGAGTACTTTAAGAAAAATTAAATTATGTTACGTCACGAACGTTATTGTTGTATTATTGGCGTGTGCAGGGACGCGTACCCCCACCTTTATTTTCACGGAATTGTTATTTGGAATTTTCCCCGGTATATTGAGGACATGTCTCATGTAAAATCACGCAAGTTTTAAGATGTGAATAGTACTGCCGCAGTCTACGAACTTTGTGAACATCACCCATGACTTATCTTTTGCATATTTAGTTCTGTTCATTATAGTGATTGGTATTTTGTATGGAAGTCAAAATATTACTTTGTCACCTTAAAGACACGAAACCACATGTTTCGCGCTACTTTTGTTTTTGTTTTTGTAAAACATCTAAATTACACTATACATTATTTATACATGGTAATAAAACACATATTGGATTTGATAATAATTAAAACTATATAAATTTATTTCTAAGGCCCAATGTGCCTTTTAGGAAGTATGCAATTCATTTGAATAAAAAAAGAAACGATTTGTCTTACCGTGATATATTATGTTCCATTTTCAAGAGCTAGCTGGATAGACTGCTGTACCTAAAGCTGTACATTAGCGGCTTGAAAGTTACCATGACGCTTTTTGCGCAAGTTGAAAGGTCGGCTATCACGCATACATAACAGCTGATAATTTGATAACTCGGTATCGATTTTCATGACCGTATTATTTGTTGGTAACAGTTATGGATTCTGTCTTTCATTCTTGTTTGACAAATCGTAGATAAGAACAGTGTATACAATAAATGATTGTAACACATGTTTTTTTCTGCATGAACAACTGCAGACGCACGAAGACGCATTTAAAGCACGAACCCACGTGGTTTTATGTATTGGGGTTTTTGCAGATGTTTATGCATGGAAGCAATATTAAGTGTTATTTTTTTGCTTTAAGGTAAACACAAATTCGCGTCTCATAATTCATTTGCAAAAAAAAAAAATTGTTCCGTTGTGCTTTTAACGTGCTTGTGTTATGTCATATTATTTATAACTACCGGGGTTGTTCTTGTAATCGGCTATCTTTACATCGCACACTAAATCAACGCCCCCCCCCCCCCAAAAAAAATGTAAAAAATCGCTACTTGTGCGAATTTTCAATAATTGCATGTTTGCAGTTCAGTGTGTACAAATGTTATACAAGTACATGTATATAAAGGTAGGTGACTTCTTTAACGCGGTTATGCTGCACAGCTTCGTAAATGTTGCATCATTTTAATTACGACGGTACGAGTATAATATTTTAATATTTTCGAACTGACTTAATCACTTACAATGTTTTTTATGTTGTAAAGGCAAACATGAAGATCGTTTGTCTACTATGTACGTTCCTCTTAAATAGTCGTAAAATACAATGTAATGTTATCTCCCGTTAAGTTTGATTGTGTTGGAACCTATTACATATGTACTTGATTGAAACATGCAAGGATCCGTTCCTGAAACTAACCAGTACAAAGCAATGAGCGCACAATTTCTGCCTCTGACGGCGTTTGAAGTCAAACGGCGGCTATCCCTTAATTACTAGAATAAACCACTAGGTCACGCCGCCACACAAGCTGCCATTTTTTAAAATAAGAAAACCAAACTGTGACTGTTGACGAACATCAATAGGTCATCATTTATATCATAGTAACTTAGCAACGATTCTATCAATTAACGTAATGCGCAAAAGCGTGTGAAATTTTCTCTATTTTAATACAAATATAATGAATGATTCATAACGTGTCACATGAATCGTTAAGTGTCCTTTTTAACTTGAATAAAACTAGATTAATTGCCACAGTTGACAAATTTATCTTCCGATTCGTACAATTATACTTAAATGTATAATAATAACGATTAAAGCACGACTAAAATTATACTTAAATATATAATAATAACGGTTAAAGCACGACTAGAATGAGTAAAATTAATGGTACACATACATTCAGCGAAATCATAACTCGATGTCAACTAGCAGCAAATGTAGAAAAACATTCAGCGAACAAATTTTAAATTGCCAATGGTTTTTTTTGTCGCACCAACACAGTAGATGTAATATGGTAATTTTTAAGTTTTACTGGTGGAGGAAACCACCAGATGCAAATAAAAGA